AGCATTTGAAAACAACTGGTAAAAATACATTACTGTGTCAACAGCTGTAGTTGACTCACTGTCAAATTTCTTCTCATCCAACATAAAGAAAATTTTCCTGAAACACTTCTGTTCTTTAATATAGTTAACTAAATATATAATACACTCATACATATGGTTATTATTAGTGTAATATTTACCTAGCCTCCAGGTTAAAGTGTAGCCTATAAATTAGTTCTATAAATTTCCCCAGCATGGACTGCTTATTTTTCCTTTATTCATAATATTACTAACTTAGCTTCACCCAGTGCGCACGGCTTAGTGTAAGAGGACTGGGCCTGCATGCGCATTCACTGCAGGTTGTAACAGTATATGTTGAGAATGAAAACAGCTTTTTCTAATTGGAATTCATTGGTACATTTTCTCTAATATAGACCACCTGTTTTTTATTTACAAGGAATAAAAACCTCTGGCTATTGGACAATTATACAAATGGCTTACATGGAAAGCAAATATTCAAATAAAATAAACTCGCTTTAAGCTAAATATTACTATTTTATCTCTTAGAGTGTAACTCTAGCTGAGGCTTTTACTTTACTTTTTTATAGAGATCAAAATGGGTAGAACTATGTATGCACCGAAATTTCATCCACCGAAAGTACCATTTTGTGGCCGAAATTATGGTGCATCTCTAGTTATTCTTCTCCTCGCTGGGCGCTGCGCTTGTTCCCTCTGACACAGAGCAGCATCCAGTGGGGTGGAGAGAAACTGTCAGTAGGCTGAGTGGGGCAGGAAGAAGAGCGCTGTGAGCGTGTCACAGGAGGCTGAGCTCCCCTCCGGCACGGCCTCACTACGACTCCTATGACAGGCAGAGACTCAGGATGGAGAGTGGGGAGGAGACAGCTGTCAGCTGTCACAGGTGGCTGAGCTGGTGGTGCAGGGGAGAAGTCAGCTGTCAGCTGTGTCGGGTCACAGGAAGCTGATCTCTCCTCCCCGCACCACCAGCTCAGCCTTCTGTGACAGCCAGGAGAGCAGAGGAATCAGGATGGAGAGTGGTATACAAATGCTCAGCGATCAGATCGCTGAGTGTTTGTAAACAATTGAGGACATAATATGTTTACTGTGTCCCCAATCTTGAATGAACAGGAAGTGCTCTACATCACTTCCTGTTCATTTATGATTGTGGACATAGTAACCCATACTGTTTTAACAGTTTATGAATTTGCAGGAGCACTCAGTTTAGAGGCTTCCTGTTCATTCATAAAAGGGGCTGCAGAAAAAGAAATGTAGGACTCAATCTCTTTTTCTTTGTTAAAAGGGAAATATCAGGGAGCCTGTTTAGACCCCTGGTATTTCCCCAAAGTCCCCAACAAATTAAAAACAAAATATATATAAAAAAATTTTTTAAAAAGGTTAGAAAAAAAATATTTTTGTTTTCGGCCTGACAACATTTTTAATTTTGGTTTCCGTCTGAAAAATTCATTTTGGTGCACCTCTAGTTAGAACTCCTGTCAAGTTTTGTGATTGTCTGCGTTCTGTTGCGGAGATTTGCCCCTTCCTTCTTTTCCCGGAGACACAGAGTGTGAGTGGAAATTACTCCAAAGTGGGGAGCCTTCCCCTATTATAATAGGTTATACATGAAACCCCAATGCAAGTATACATGTATACAGTAGTATCTGAATGCCTCATGGGTGGCTCATAACATTATGTTATCATGTCACATTACAGATCATTCATCTCAGTCTTCCAAAAAGGTCTTGGTTTTTGGCTGCCTGCAGCATCTTTGTTTATAGGACATGTGTGGAGAAGATTTTAAACAACGTATGATCCTATTGTGATTTTGTGCAGTTGATGAGTGCTGTGATCTATGACATTTACCTTAGGAGAAAATGAAATCTTGGTTTTCCTTTGAAAAGAAAATGTCATCTTGATACCATCAATGAAGCATGTGATGACTCTCCAAGATTCCGTTTCTGTTGTTTTCTTATTATTTCCGCTGTGTTTCAAAGCCACTCTGAGTACCTCATGAGGACTTTGATATTAAAAAGCACTCGCTTTAAGGCTTTGTATGTCTCTTGTGAACTGTAGCATGCTTAACATGAGGAGATCCAGATTTGTAATCCTAATTAAAATGTGTTCTTTATGAATTCCGAGTAAAAGCACAGCCTTTTATATTGCAAAGACTTGGCCATCCTTCCTTTATTGAGAAGCAATGTTTGGCTTCTTTGAATATAATAATTATGCCCCTTTACATTGGTGGTCAGTGAAGAAATGCCCATTACATTGCTGGTCAGTGGGGAAATGCCCCCCTTACATTGGTGGTTAGTGGAGAAATGCCCCCTTACATTGGTGGTCAGTGAAGAAATGCCCATTACATTGCTGGTCAGTGGGGAAATGCCCCCCTTACATTGGTGGTTAGTGGAGAAATGCCCCCTTACATTGGTGGTCAGTGAAGAAATGCCCCCTTACATTGGTGGTCAGTGAAGAACTGCCCCTTACGTTGGTGGTTAGTGGAGAAATGCCCCCTTACATTGGTAGTCAGTGGAGAAAAGCACTTTCACTAGCAGTAAGTGGAGAAATTGGTGATCAGTGAAGAAATGCCTGCTTAAATTGGTGATCAGTGTAGAAGTGACACCTTACATTGAATGTCAGTGAGAAACTGCCGTCCTTACATTTCTTCCACTTCTCATTCCTTTAAGGAACCCCTAACATCACTGAAGGAACCCTAGGGTTCCACAGACCTCTGATTGAGAAAGCCTGGTCTAGATACAGTTTATCCCATCATATTATTTAGCAGGTACTACAGAACTACAGCATTCTAAGATCTTGTTTTTTACTAACTTACTTGCTATGAGTTTTAGTTGTTGGATGCAAGTATCAAATGAGATTCTACAATAATTGCAAGATTTGATTTAGCAAGGATTGGGGAACGGAAAGCAGGAAGTAAACCTTTGCGAAAATGAAATACACATAGCAATTGAATAAACAGGATAATAAACATTATTCTGGAAGAACATTTTATGAGAACCATTTGTTGAACACAGAAAATGTACTGCAGTTTCTCTTGCTGAGCAAAATATTAGTCATAAGAAAACACAGAAACCGCTATATACAATGAGAATCACAAGACAATGGTTACTGGTGCTTACCCTGGATCCACATGCCCACATTGTTACAGTATGCTGTCCTGCACATCTGGATCTCTGTGTAATTCATGCCTTTGATTGTTCCTGTGTTCATTGTTTTCCTAAATAAGAAGTGATGCCAGTATTAGATATGGTTGTCTACTCCAGCGAAATACATCATCCGCATATGCGACTTAGAAATTACCGTGCACTTCCATTACGGAATTGTTCTGCATAAATGTCAAACTCCATGGGAAACAGTCTAAACATATTATCAAGCACGAAAAAACAATGGTATAAATGTGTTCAGAGTTGGGGATCAGAGTCATTTCTCCTTGTTATTGTGAATTACTCTACTTGCCATAAAACGGAAACCGCAGTTTGCCCAGCATACGCCTATTAATAAAATAAATGGAATTGCACACTGGCATCAAGATGTTTTTACCTCTAGCATATTGTGGTATTAACAGACATTTGTTTTCTCTGTATCATGCCCATGTGTCAATTCTGAGCTTTGTCGCATCTACTGCGTATTTAGAAGATTTTGAACCACATTTGTAATATTTGCACGGAATTCCCTCGGAATTAATTCTAGAGTTATGATTTTTTTTCACACATGAAAGTCCATACATGGAATATATTGTGCTAGATTTGTTTTTAGCAAAAATAATTTATTGGGCTTCATATATCAGAATAGGTTTTAAAAAAACATGTATTGCCAATGGCAACCATTTATATTCTTCTTTATTTCATTTTACCAGCCTTTACCATGACAGATGCAATGTGATAGGTTGGGAAATAAAGACAATTCTCCTCTAGACACATTGAACAAATTAACTCTGTTAAATTAGGTCTCCAAAGTGATGCTAAACCTGATATAAATGCGGTCCTGTAGGGCAAGATTAAGGTAGATGTAGAATTATGGTTATGAGTCAGTCATCAATGTGTGTGGTTATCGGGCAGGTAGCTGCTCATCAAAATTATAATTGCTTAATCCCAGTCTGTTTCTTGGTTTGGATGTTTAAAAATCATGCTGGCTATTTACTGCTATTTACTATTTTATATCAGCAGTTTGTGTTGCCATTGAGAACTGTGTTGTTAAACCTTGTTTATTTATCTTTTGATGGCTGCAAAGTTCCTTATATATTTTTTTTTTCCAAATGTTTTGATTAGATTTTGAAGGTTATTAACAGACAGTTCTGTATTACATTATCCCAAACATTGGAGTATTAAATAGAATTGCAGTGAGCATACTCGTAATATACAGAATAGACATAGAAAGGTAAAAAATTCAGTACAAAGTAAACAAGGTCGGTAAAGAGTTCCGGTATATAGTAGGGTAAGAAAACTACAATATGAAATGTGTCAGCCCGGGGGCCTATATCAAGTAGTCCATGGTGACCATATTTTATCAAATTTATGCAGGGCAGATTGGCAGTGTGCCAAAATTCTCTCATAATTGTAATGCATGTGTGTTAATTTTATGACAAAAGTTCCTTATATTTTTGAAGAGTTAGGTGGTTTTCATTTAGATAGCTAATCTTAGGCATGGGGCATATCACAAGACTTTGTGAAAAAGAATCTGCCACAAAACAAAGTTCCTGTGTTAGAAGCCTAACTCTTGGGCGGCACACTTGGTCTGGTGGCAATGCTCAAAATTAGTAGGTTCCATTTAGAATGGACGGGTTTGGTTGCACAGCACCAGTTTATGTCCCAAAAGTCAGACAATAGTAGATTGTACCTGAGGCTTCTCACAACAATAGATCACTTCTTTACAAGAATGCTTTGTACTTTAATATCTACTCTGTGGATTCACTGTATATGTATGTTTTCTGGTTGTGGTATAGAGGTCGCTGTATTGAAACCAAAACAACGTTGTCTTTTTTTTGTTTGTAGCTGCAACCTAACCTGCCCTGCTGGCCAATATGGTATTAATTGTGACCTGTCTTGTAACTGCCACGACAATAAGTGTGATCCCATTACTGGAGCCTGCCACATGGGTAAGTTTACAATGATAATACTACACACTGTGTGAATATTAACACTACCATCAAAGGCTATTTATACAAATTATATAAAAATGGCTTGGCTGGTGTTATTGTTAATTGCTGCTACAAGGTAAGAAATGCAATCTGAATTCTTTAAGGTTCTTCATGCCGCCTTGGCAACCACCAAAAAAACTTATAGCATATACTGTAACATATAGTTTGAAAGCACATAGTAGAGAAAGCATAGTCCTATTTCCACAAAACCAAACTCACTTTTTTCATGCTGCTGTCTTGGGGAGCTGTGGCCACTATAAGAAAATAGAGACAGTAAGGACTTGTGAGGTATGGCCTTGATTTTCTCGACTGTTATGTATTGGAATAGTTGGGAAATGGGTATAAAGATTCAGAATTGGATGGTAATTGTTACCTGTAATTTTGACCTCTTAGCCCCCACCTTCAAAATATTAATGAAACCTCTACTTATACCCAGCCCCATTTATCATTCCAGGACACAAATCATTCTGGTTAATCTATTAAAAAAGTACCAAAAATAATTTCTTGTCATAACACTTAGAAGTTCACTTTTTTCTCATTTCACATGAAATTATGAAGTGTCATCACTTCATTTTGGGACCCACTGTATGTAACTTTTACTAGAGCAGTGGTAGTGTCCTTTCCAGAATGCATATGTGCCAACTTTGTGTGGGCAACACATTTAATAGGAGTTGTTTTTTAAATGATGCTCTTTTAGCTTGGCAGCTTAGCTATATGTATGAATGCCTTGCCTGAACAAGCATTTGTTTGCACAGGGTATGTGGTGTGTCCAAGCCACTTAGAGAGCATTGACCACATATGCAAAAAAGGTGATTTTGTAGATCTGTGAACTGTTCAAAACTTGGAGGAAATGCTCTATCCAGCAGGCAACACCACAAGCATTTTATTTATTCCTCCCAGGACACCATTCCTTGGCTTGCAATATCTGGCTTCAACCATCTTGTAGCGGGAAGAGTGCAGAAAAGAGCAGGCCTTGCCAACTGCAAGGCTGATTTATTGGACTTTAGAAATATTTTTTTACCATAATCTTTAGTACAGTGAGCTTTGCTTGATGATAAAATATGCTGAAAGCTGGATTTTATATGATCAAACAGCACACAGGTTTTTCTGCTATTGACTTGTTAATGTTTTAATAGTGTTGGATAATGATATAAAATCTTCATTGAGGAGAAGGGGTTTTGGGTCAGAGCCCAGGAGTTGATGTCATAATTGTAAATCAAGCTCAGAAAAAAATTTACTTGGAAGGTTTAAAATAAATCAGAAAAGTTTATTTATCTGAACCAGAGTGATCCTGCAGTATTCATTTTCTTTATTTTAGTGTCAGTAAACCCATATGAACATGCGTGAGTAGTGTATATTGTGAATAAAATATTTCATATATCGCCTAATTTTAAATCTGTGATAAGTTTGTCATATGGTCTTTCTCAAGGTCTTTAGTGATCAATGAGAAATATGTGGGAGGAGCAAATAGCTAGCATGTGACCATTGGCCTGGTCCACACAGAGGAGACTGGTGATCATGTGACTGGTAAAATAAACAGTACATAATACGGTCCATGACACAGTCCATACAGTCCATGACATGGCGCCATCCGTGTTGTCACTTCAAGCACCATCATCTCTTCCAAGGTCTCTACGCTGTATGGAGTGCAGGTGATTTCGTATTATCGATGGTAAAATAAACAATCCAAATATAAATGGCATTATTAAGATTAGTATTAAAGCTAAGTCATGAAATAAGTAGTCTATTTAATTCTTGCACATTAAAAAAACAAAACATTTTTACATTCTTCTGAGCTGTCCCACGTAATACCTGACATCATGGGATGGCTTAATGATTATAATTGACAGTGAAACACTTCCTCTTTGCTCCGCTTTCTTTTACGCCCACATGACCATTGTGAGTTGCCCCACATAATGTGCAGTAGAGTCATGGGGGAAGAAAAGCTGGCAAGATGCCAATGTAGAAGACTGGGAATCACTTGCAGTAGCATTACCAATCTGCATAAAGGGTTCTGTTGAACTGGTAGGATCACCAGGTCAGTACAAATTAATGATTGCCATTGTAAATAAAAGAACAGCGCACATAGTCAGGCATACATACAGATACAGACATATAGAAAACTGCTATGTAGTTCACTCTGCAATCCTATATAAATCACAGAATGGTCACTGTAATACATTTTTCCTGCAGATATTTCCATGTAATTAGCTAATTGCAGTTGCAAATTATTATATTTTTGAAATTATATCTCATTGGTGCATGGTAATTGGCAATGTACCTAGGGTTTTAAGTAGCTCTAGTAACTTTATTTAAAGGGACTTATATTGTTCAAAGCCTGCATGGCTATTACTGCTCAGTCACTTATGACCCTTTCCCAAAATAATGGTGTCATTCTCTCTCATGGCTGTACTCCCGAAGTATTTGTTTATTCTACATTTTTGAAAAACCATCAGGGAAACATAAAACCTTTATTTGGCTTTGTGGTGGCAGCTGTTGTGCTTTACTATGAATTCTTGTAGGAGTATTCAACCACGAAATCCACAGAAATAAAAGATATAATAGGTTGTTATGTAATAAGGGCCTGTGTCGGCATCCTTTTGTTCGCGTCAAACTTGTTTTGCATTCCAAAAAACTTGCAGTCCAAATTGGGATATTTAATGAAGTCAGCATATTTTGGATCTACTGTGTACCTTCTTTCAGCTCTGACACCTCTGGATACTAAATACTAGGGATGCACCAATACTATATATTCATGCCGATACTGGGTATTTACTTGTACTCATGAAAGTGCCCCAATACTAAAGGCTGACCCTTTAAATTTTTAAACAAGAGCGGCTGCCTGAGGTCCCATGCTTTCTGGCAACCTCAGGCAGTCTGCTGGAGACCTTGTGGAGGCTGTCTTTTACTGCACCTGTCTGGGCACCACATCCCCTTCTCCTCCTTCCTGCTGTTCGCAGAGATCAGCACAGCCCTGGACAGCCCTGCACCCACCCGTACATGGCACAGCACCTGGAGACCCGAACGCAGCCCTGGGGAGATACGGCACAGGGCCCTGGTGACACACACATGAAGCCCTAGTGAGACGCCGAACAGAGCCCTGGTGACAAGCCATATGCAACCCTGGTGAGACCAAAACATAGCCCTGGTGATACCCACATGCAGCCCTGGTGACACCCACATGCAGCCCTCGTGAGACCCAATCGCAGCCCTGGTGGCACCCACATGCAGCCCTGGTGACACCTGAACACAGCCCTGGTGACACCTACATGCAGCCCTGGTGACACCCACATGCGGTGTGGTCAGTCCTGGTCAGTGGCAGAACTACCAGGGTCGCAGCTGTGACTGGGCCCTGGTGCTGCACCACTGTCCTAAAATCATTGGTCTGCATTGTTTTAGAAAAAATGTAATATAACACTTTAAAAAAAGTATCAGTAATTGCTAGCAGCGAGAACTTGAGGAACAGTACTTGTATTTGGTCTTGAAAAAATGGTATTGGTGCATCCCTACTAAATAACAATCTGACTTGTTCCCTGACTTTCATTTTCTTCACCTATCATTTAGAATAAGTCCTGAAATCCTGGGGAGAAAGGGCTTATTTCACTGCTTGCATTAGTTCCCTCATCCTTGAGCCAGGAGCTTATTTTGTCAATTTTCAATAAATGTTAGCCTAACCTTCTATAAAATATTAAAACCTAGTACCTCAATAGCTAGAGGTAACAACCACTAAAAACAGTACAGCTGCTACAGAGCCACTGAGGCACAGTCTACTGTATGCAAATAGGCAAGGAGGTCTATTCTATATCTCCTACCAAGTACACCCACCATACTAAGTACCAATAATATTACCTCAATATATAAACTCCAAAAGTTAAATAACAGACATAACTAGTGATGATTCGAGAAAAAATGTGGGAGTAGTCAACTGTTTAGCAAATATAAATGGAAACAAATATTCAGACCTCCAACACCAGTGGTACTCAAACCCACAGAAGTCTCGCCACAGATATATAAAAAAAATATTCCAATTTTATTATACTCCATAATTAAACCAAAATATTACAGACATGACATAAACTCCCCTTCCAAAAAATTTCCAGGATGTTATATATCCTGGTACTACAATCGCTGTCTCTAAAGGCACAATCTAGCAGCTTCTGGTTCTGGATAGTGTACTCCTCAGCTTTACCCTAGGACCATACCAGGACCTTGATAGAGAGATTATATGGGGTAAGCTTGTAATGTTGCTTCAGGCACTTGATCCTGCATTTGGTGCTCACCTTGACTTGTTTTGCAACATGATGAGTTTGCCGCAGGGTTCTATACTCTATACAGGTTGCTGTACCCCTGTCCCTGAAGACCACTTAGATGATCTCACTTTATCTACATTTTTTAATTGGGCACCTTCGGGATGGCCAGGCTTCAGCCTGGGCATCCCACGGAGTGGCCCTATAGGTGCAGACAGAGGCCATGGTCCATGTGTGTCAAGATGGCAGGCACCTGCACAATAAAGCCTACTGGAATGAAGGCTGCACAGGTGTCCAACATCTTGGCACACATGCAGGCCACATCTCCTATCTGCGCCTCCTACACCTATACAGCATAATGATCTCAGGACATTACAGGTCTTCCTGCTGCCTACAGTGACTGGTCACAGAAGACTTAACCCTTCTATTCTGCAGTGTAGTGGTTGTGAGTACCCTTACTGGGATGCATTTGCTTATGCTGTGGCAGATCAAAGGCACAAGGGGAGCACTGCCAGCTCACCCTTAGCCAATGGCTCAGGGGCTATGTCCCCAAAAGGGTCTACTTCCACAAGCCCAGACTGCCAACCTTTAGGCTAAGTTGTTCCCCTCCTTGGACTCCCTGGCCCCTTCAGTGACACTACACTCCTGCTTATCGAGAGAGGAGTTTTCTGGCACAGTGTCTAAAATTATGACACAACAGTCAGCCCCGGCCTCACAATATGGGGGCCGTTGGCCCGCTCATCCTCTCCTCTAGATTTTAAGTCTGATTTCCCCTTGGCTTCTTCTGCACCTCTTGAGCAGGTTCAGAGGGCTTGGTATTTGATGAGGTTCAATCAGCAATATCCAATTGATTAAGGGTTTCTGAAGAAATGGGCTGTTCAGGTTATAGATGTGGCCATTTCTTGTCATAACAAAACCTTAATGGCCTCTGTTGAAGACGTTCCTCCATTTAACGGCCATATGGATAAACAGTTTGTAGCCCTTTTTAAGGCCTTGTTTTCCCTTGCAGGTCATGCATTGCAATCTGCAGTAGCCGTCTGCTCCAAAACCATGGCTCGTGATCCTTGATTCACCCATTTTAACGCATTGTGTTGTGCTCCAACAGCTAGAGCTCTTGCCTGTGGCCCTGCACTATTGTGTCAATGGGCTTGCTGATATTTTTTGCCAGGTATTTAGAATGGGACCTCTTGCAGTACATATAGAGGAACCTTTGGCCCAAATGCTGGTCTGCGGAGCTCCCTTGCAAAGAATTGCCTGGTACAGATGCCTTTTGAAGGGAGATGTCTTTGTGGCAAGTCCTTTGACTCCTATTTTAAGAAAGTCAAGGGGATGGGGTGTATGACGGAGTGGAGGAATAACCCTTTTGCCCCAGAAAAAAGAAGGGGAGGTTCGCCCTATTCTGGATCTGAAGTTTCTCGGGTTCAAAAATTCCACATCAATCCTCCCAGGTCAGTCATTGCTTCTTTTCATCCAGTGGATTTTTTGGCCTCTGTGGACATCAAGGATGCTTACTTGCAAATGCCCATTTTTTCCAGGAACTATTATGCTAGGCAGTCTTTTCAGCTTGACTGTGCTAATGTCCAATCTTGTGAAGGTGGCTGCATAACCCAAGGTTCCAGAATTCCATAACCCTGTGATGTACGCCAATAAAATGATTTTACAAATAACAGAGAAATCCATTTTTTTTCTTCAAAACTTATTTATTGAAGCCAATAGTAGCACATGAATTGGAGTCTCTCATACCTTATATTGTGCTGAATGCTCCAAAATGAAAGGTGAAGCTTTCTTTTTGTTTTGGGAATTTTCACCTTGTTCTTTGCATTGCCTTATTAAATAAGCCCCTGTGTGTATGTAGTCTAGAATACTTGGAAGGTGAACAAAAAGTTTTCAAGTAGATAGAAAGACTGAAAGACATTAGCAGCTTAGTGCACATCATGAAAAGATCAGCAAAGAGAAATGATTCTGCTGCACATAAGCGATTTCCCACGTTTGTTAAGAAAAGCACTTGCAACTAAAAATAAAACTGGGTCTCTTAATAAAAGACATAGTGAACATTTTTCTGGATGTTTTGGTTTGTGTAGCAGAATGTTACTTAGCTCCTTTGACGTCACAAAGAAAAAATGTTTCTAAGAAAAGAGCCTTCATCAGGTTCTTATTATTAATGTCTTTTGATGACTCATTAAATAACCTAAATGTTGTGTGTTCCTTAGAAGTGGTGCCACACACAAAATGAGTCCTACACAGTCCACAAAGCTTTAAAGTATAATAACACTTTAGCTGCACTGAAGGTTCCCAAGATCACAATGTCCTCCATAATTCTCAAATGGAAGAAGTCTGGCGCAACCAGGAATCTACCAAGAGCTGGTTGCCCAGCTAACCTGAGCAATCGAGGGAGAAGGACCTTAGTAAGAGAGGTGACCAAGAAGCCAATGGTCACTCTGACTGAGCTCCAGAGATCCTGTGTGGAGATGGGACAAAATTCCAGAAGGACAATCATCACTACAGCCCTTCACCGATATGGCCTTCATGGCAGAGTGGCTAGAAACACATGAAAGCCCCTACGGGTTTGCAAAAAAAAAGCACCTGAAGGACTTTCAGACTGTGAGGAAAAAGATTCTCTGGTTTGATGAAACCAAGATTAAACTGTTTGGCCTCAATTCTAAGAGTTTTGTCTGGAGAAAACCAGACACCGCTCATCACCTGCCCAATACCATCCCAACAGTGAAGCATGGTGTTGGCAGCATCATGCTGTGGGGGTGTTTTTCAGCAGCGGGGACTAGAAGAGTGGTCAGGCTTGAGGAAAAGCTGAATGGAGCAAAGTACAGAGATATTCTCAATGAAAAACTGTTCCACAGCACTCAGGACCTCAGACTGGGCCGAAGGCTTACCTTCCAACATGAGAACGATCCTAAGCACACAGCCAAGACAACACAGGAGTGGCTTAGGGACAACTCTGTGAATGTCCTAGAGTGGCCCAGCCGGAGCCCTGACTTGAACCCTATTAAACATCTCTGGAGAGACCTGAAAATGACTGTCCACTGACGGTCCCCATCCAACCCGACTGAATCTGAGAGGATTTGCAAAGAAGAATGGCAGAAAATCCCCCAATCCAGATGTGCACAGCTTGTCGCATCATACCCAAAAAGACTTGAGGCTGTAATTGCTGGCAAAGGTGCTTCAACAAAGTACTGAGTAAAGGGTCTGAATACTTAAAGGAGAACTATGAGGTGAGTGATTTTCACTCAACCTCATAGTTCGAGCCCACGTGTGACAATGAAAATGTCACACATCGGCTCAATAGATCGGGATGTGAGCGAAAACATAGCGTCGCTCGCTCACTTCCCAATCATGTCCCTGCAGAGAGCCGTGACTGTCACTCCCGTCTCCCTGCAGGGATTCCCCCCCTCCCGATCCTCCAGCGCTGACTGGCGGAAAGGACGGGGAGGGGGCGGGTCCAGCTGGCTCTGCCTCTAGATAGGCAGAGCCAGCTGTCAATCACGCAGCTGGGTGGATCTCGACAGTAATGTCGGGATCCACCCCGGCTGCAGCGGTCTCAGTATACCACAAGCTATAGCTTGCAGTATACTGAGCTTTGGACATGGGAGGATGCTAGTTTATGCCCTCCCGTGACCCTGAGGAGAACTATGGGGAAAAACACTTACCCCATAGTTCTCCTTTAAGTACATGTGATGTCAGTTGTTTTTTAAAATAAATTCACAGACAATTGTAACATTCTGTTTTCTCTTTGTCATTATGGGGTACAGTGTAGATTAATGAGGAAAAAAATGAATTTAAACAACTGTAGTATAAGGCTGCAACATAACCAAATTGAGAAAATTGAAGGGGGTCTGAATACTTTCTGAAGGCACTGTATGTATTGTCTTGAGTTGTACCTTAAGTCATATTCAGAAATTTAAAGAGCAATATGTAAATGGCAGTAACAGATACTAGCCAATGAACTTTCCTTGTTCCAGTAACATCTGTTCTGTTTTTCCCAGTCATTTCCAGCTAATGTGTGTAACTAAGAATGTAGCAGTTTAGAATTATTTGTAGAATATACATGGTTTCTTATATCACCAGATGGTGCACTGCCATATGCTGATTTCTATATGAGGTGGGTTATTCACATGTTACTGGTTTCATTTTACTGAAAAAGCCTGGTTCCCTAGTTTGCCCAGGTTGGCTACAGGCCAGATAAAAAGGAGCTTCTTTCCCCTTTTTTCCTTTGTTCCTCTAGGACCAGCAAAATCATTGCTGCTAGATATATAAATGAATACCACGGTGTGCACATGCAAGCCAATCACATAGTCATTAGTAATGCTAAATATTATGTCTGAAAAGACAATGTAGTTTATTTACTTAGGCGTAGGGATTGTTCACCTAACTAAACACCTAAACTAATGGAGATTTAAGCCCAGTACTAAAATCTCTGTTGTTTTCAAGCTTTTCAAATCTGTAGCTTTTAATAAAATAAGGCAAATCCTTTAATAGGGTGACAACTGTTTTCCAGTTGTGCTTTTGTGTTGTCACCCTGTCACATGCACTCCTAATAAGAGATACAAGCACCTATTTCAATGCACAGTACTCAGCTAGTTAGGAATGTGACCTAGCTTCATAAATATGGGTACAATATGAAATATGGCCTGAAACATAAACTAAGCCTTTAAAAGTACTAAAGGGTCAGCTCACTAAATGATGATGCATGCAGAAATTATGAAATTTGTCAAAAATTGCTTTGCTTTTTTCATTCCACAAAAGGATTTACCAAATGAATATGTACTGCATATCTGAGATTGTGTGTTACATGTCAATATTTTTGGATGCAGTGAGTTGCTACTTATGTAGCAGTCGTGTTATGATCCCTTTAATGAGGGTGAAAAGATGTGGCAAATGCAGTATGTATGATGTTTATAACTGGTATGGTATAATGTTTCATTTTTAGAAGCCAATCAGAGGATGGGGGTGATAGGCGCAGGGGCCCTTGTGACATTGCTCTTGATTCTCCTGCTGTCATTGCTGTGCTGCTGCTGTGTCTGCCGCAAGAAAGAAGAATCAGCTGGGTAAGTTTATATTTTACTTTGATTGCTTAAAGAGCCAACACATTAATTGTTTGCTATGGCAATATATATTTGCTATAAAATATCATGATTGACATGGGCACTCCATTAATAAATACTTTTGGAGGATTTGTAACATGCATTTACATCAGCAAGTATAAAAAATAAATGACCTGCAACAAAGTAACAGTGTTATCCTTTAGATCTCATTATTAAGGAAAATCAAGGTGTCAAGTTCAAGTTATAAATAATGATTGGCTTGAGGTCCCTTTCATCTTAAGGTGGCCATACACTGTACAACCATCGCAAGACCTTAGTCTTGCTATGGTTGTAAAGGGATTAAAAAAACGTACGATCTGCCTATCTTGGACAGGCAAATCGCACTCTCGATCATCGCAAGCCCGCCCCCCTGAGGGGCGGGCTTCCGATGACCGCAATGCTGAACGGGCAGTGTGCGCGTGCGCACACCGGCCCGTTCAGCATTTGTCTTCCGAGCACCGTTCTAACCAGCCGAGAATCGTACGATTCCCGGCTGGTTTTCGAACATGCTGGTTCGACGGAAGACGTGCGACCGTACAGTAGAAACGGTCGCACGTCTCCGTTCACACTGCTCGATTCTCGTACGATCGCTGGATTTCCCGCGATTCTCGTACGAGAATCGAGCAGTGTATGGGCACCTTCAGACCAACTCAGAAACTCTGCATTCAACACAGGTGTTCAGTGGAAATGTTTCACATGTGTGAGCCAGGCTTGGCCATTACTATGGAGAGACGGTCTTTTGCAGCTAAAAAAAAAAGAGTTTGTGGATAGGTAATTGTCCTCTTTCAGTGACAGTGTTGTCATTATAACAGGAAATTAAAGGAAATCTCTCCAGTGGGAGAACAAAAAACTGAAAAAAGGTTTCTTCCCTACTCTGTCCAAATCTAAAAATAAAATATTTTTGCTGGAGATCAACCTTAAATCATGTGATCATATTTCAGCATTTTGTCTGAGCATTAATTACAGAGAGAGAGGAGGGCAAGCGAAGGGACTTAAAATGCTTGAATGCTATCATAGGCAAAAGACCACTGCATACAATGATCTTATATAAGTAATGAATAATATGATTCTAAAAAGGAAGAGATTAGTGCCCTGATATTGGCTTAGTGTACTGCCTCCAGCACGGCTTATTGGCTGGGAAAAAAAGAAAAACTATTTTTTAGGAAGAAGCAGTAAATTCACTTGTGTGGAAACAGATAAAGAAGAGGAAAACAAATACTAATATTAAATGGCTGCCTAGTATTCTCAACCCTTTAGGCACTCTCATTCAGACCACCCAAGTCTGCATGGTGTACCTGTTCATAGTTTAATTCATCAATCACATCCATAGATAGAATTTAACAGCTGCAGTTCAAACGTTTGTCTGCTTCTAGCTTATCTCTCTCCCTTTCTCTCTCCCTTTCTCTCTCCCTTTCTCTCTCCCTTTCTCTCTCCCTTTTTCTCTCCCTTTCTCTCTCCCTTTCTCTCTCCCTTTCTCTCTCCCTTTCTCTCTCCCTTTCTCTCTCCCTCTCTCTCTCTCTCTCTCTCTCTCTCTCTCTCTCTCACCTCATTCTGTAAATGCAGTTATTTCTTCTAGCAAGTTTCAGCCCTGTCTCAGAAGACTCCCTTGATGCAATTTTTAATTTTTATTTATTTAACTTTTTTAAATGTTTTTAATTTTAGTTTAATTTAATGTTTTTAAACGTTTTTTACTTTATTGCTGGGAGCAATAGCCAGCCAGCTATTGGATATTTCAAATTGCAATAGCCAATAGCAGGCTGGCTATTGCATCCGCCCACTGCTGTCAATCGGCAGAGGAGGGACATGAAGGAGAAAGTTTTCTCCTTCATGTCCAGGCAGTGGGCGGGTGCGATAGCTAGCCTACTATTGGCTATTGCACTGTAAAATATCCAATAGCAGGCTGGGTATGGCTCCTAGACTCTAGATGCAGGGGAGGAATGGGGCAACAGTAGGGGCATGGGGGCGTGGCAGCGGTGGCACAGGGGTGTGGCAGCGGAGGCACTGGGGTGTGGAAGAGGAGAAACGGGGCGAGGCTGTGGAGGAACAGGGCGGGGCTGAGGAGGGATGGGCCAAGCCGGAGGAGACACGAAGCGGCAGTGGAGGCACGGGGGGGCACAGAAAGTATGGGGGGCAGCGGGGAATGCAATCACAATGGTCTCTCCTCCCCGCTGGTGCCTGCTGCAGTGGTCTGTGTCCCCGCTGCCTCTGCCAAAACAGGCGGGACAGCAGCAGGGATTGAAAGGGACAAAGACAGCTGCAGCCAGCAACAGCGAGGAGGAGAACAGAGGAGCAGAGCGGCGGCAACTAATCGAAAAGCAACTAATCGATGATTAAAATAGTTGCCAGCGATTCTCATTATTGATTATACTCGGTTTCATCAATACGTTGTTGCAGCACTACTTTTACAGATGATTAGAGATTAAATGACCTTTATAGGGAAATACTTTGCTACATACAGCTGGTTTTCTAGGCTATAATACAAATAAGTAGAAAAAGAATAACGTTCACACAGCTACAAAGCATTAAAATGTTATAGAGGAAACCTAATGTTTTATGTGTAAAAGTTCTTTATAAATAGTTTACTGATTTCTTTTTTTCAAAACTGAATTAAATAAGTCTTCCATTCTGATGTATTGCATTTTGTAAACCTGAAACATTGTACTGTTTTTTTTTGCGTTACAGTGAAAATCGAGAGAAAGCAGCAAACAAGAAGCCCCCTCGACGCTTCTGTGGACGTTTCAGCCGAATCAGCATGAAACTGCCTCGAATTCCCTTGCGTAGACAAAAGCTGCCAAAAGTTGTGGGTAAGATTATTTATTATGGCTTTCAAGCTGTCTTTTCAATAAACCTAGAGAAGGCTGAGTTTCTATCAAACAGATGAGACTGATCTGATTGAGTGCTCACTGCACACTTAGAACATAATATTTCTATAGTTTCAGTATGGAAATTGGTACCAACTTATAAGACAAGGTGTGCAGAATTGAATTGGCGGTGTTGGAGAAAGACAGCACTACAGGTGTATAAGTTTGAAATTATATAAAGTACATTGGGCTTGTGAAAGATAGGAACTGAGACCAAAATTGGCAATACTTTAGGATATTTGTTTCTAATAGGTCACCCAAAATCTAAATGTGCTGTTCAATAATTCATACATTGGGGTTACTATTAAGGAAAAAAAACACTGAGACTATTTAAGACAAGTTATGAGTTCACTAGACAAAATGACTACTAACAAATACAAATACATTCCAGAATAAATGCAACAAGCTGAATATACAATATACAGTAACAGGTCTTATAATTATGTGTACTTGGCTTGACGAGGAGCTAAGAAAAAATAGTTACTATCTCCAGTTCTGTTTCATGTGACCTCTCTGATCTGCTGTTCGTCATTAAGTGTGTCTACTTCCTCCCCAATCTCTTAGTACCTTATTACTTCAGCATCACTTCCTGCTGAACAAAATGACTGATTTATTTTGCTTCAGACAAATGCAGTTAGTTTGATTCTCCATTAGCATTCAGACAAAGACCATGGCTAGTTTAATTGTGGAAGAATAAAGATTTACAACATATTAAGTTTTATTAGAACAATCTAAACCTACATAAAGCTCTATGCTGTAATATGCCAGCAATTTATAACCATGACAAAGGAGAAATTGATAATTAGTGATTTTCTTATTACTTACCATTGGAAGTTCAGCATGATGCCAGGTTTTCTCTATTTAATCATCTTACAAAATGTCCCAGCCCCTTCATACCTAAGCGTTTTGTTGTTCAAAGCTAAGCGCGACAAAACGCTCAAGTCAAGGAATTCCATTCATTTCTATGGCCCCTTGATCATACCTGAGTGTTTTGTTGCACAAATTTTCCTATTAAACTCAATGGGACCAAAAAGCTCTGTAATCTGCCACAAAGTAGCTCCAGCAATTTTGTTCAGCAACAGGTGCTTTTCTGCTTTCAACAAAATGCTCAGGTGTGAACAGGGGCTGTAGAAATTAATGGGATTCCTTGTCATGCTTACCTTTGAGCAACAAAACGCCTAGGTGTGAACTAAGACTGAAGCTGATTTACCAAAGTAGAGGCAGCACCCTTAGTTAAGTGTATGTTGAGTCTGCAAAGTGAATGTTAGTAAATAAGGTGGACAAGTAAATGTGTTTACTTTAAATACCAAATCACATACAAGGGAAATTTAAAAATACAGGATTTTCGCAAGCTCATGATTGGATAGTTGAGTACAGCTTCAACTTATTTACTAAGCCGAGTGAATAAACCCCATAGAGTTATGGTAGAAAGTTTTTTTTCCCCACTGTATATGCGTTGCACTTTCCATGCTTCAAAATAGTTTCAAAGGTTTAACAACATCAATGCCAATGGCCACCCTAAAAATACAGTGAATTCAGACTTATACAGACTACCAGCCCAGGGCTGTATTCATTTGCACTCCAGTGACATTTTTGCAATCAGCTATAGGTCTAATAATTCAAAAATAGCTTTGCTATGACTAATTATTCAAAAGTGAGGCATATATTCTATTTTTGGAAAAATAAGACTTTCAAAAAAAATCTCTTAAGTAGGGCTGCACCGATAATAGTATGGGTACCGGTGCGGATACCAAGTATTTGGGCAGGTATTCATACTCAGCCAAATCTTCCGATACCTTCCCGATATCGGAACTTCTAGTCAAAGGAATATTTCCTCTGACCGGCAGTGCCATAGGGGAACATGGCGAGTAATGACCCGCCTCCCAGCTTCCTGATTGGGTGGGAAGCCAGCTTTGTGGCTTCCCACGAAGCCACGAAGAAGGAGGTTCCCATCCCAGATTTTAGCTCAATTTTGGTCTCATCTGACCGCAGCACTTTCTCCCAATCCTTCTCTGAATCATTTAGATGTTCATTGGCAAGCTTCAGACTGGCCTGTACATGTGGCTTCTTGAGGAGGGGGAGCTTGCAGGCGCTGCAGGATTTCAATCCATGGCGGTGTATTGTGTTACTGCCTTGAGGTCATTCAAAGGCTCCTTCCGTGTAGTTCTGGGCTGATCCCTCACTTTTCTCATGATCATCCTTACTCCATGAAGCGAAATCTTGCATGGAGCTCCATACCGAGGGCGATTGATGGTTGTTTTGTATTCCTTCCATGTGCAAATAATCGCTCCAGCAGTTGTTTCCTTCTCACCAAGCTTCTTGCTGATAGTCTTGTAGCCCATTCCAGCCTTGTGCAGGTCTACAATCTTGTCCCTAACGTCGTTTGATAGCTCTTTGGTCTTGTCCATGGTGGTGAGGTTTGAATGGAAGAAAGTGATTCTGTGGACAGGTGTCTTTTATATACATAACGAGATGTCGTTAGGAGCACCTTCTTAAATTGACAGGACTCATTTGTGTACTGCACAGCCAGTTTGTGGGAGCCAGAATTATTGTTGGTTGGTAGGGGATCAAATACTTATTTTAATCACTGAACTGCAACTTAATTTATAACATTTGTATCATGTGTTTTTTCTGGATTTTCGGTTGATATTCTGTCTCAATCATTTAAAATACACCTATGATAAAAATTATAGACCTTTCATTTCTTTTTAAGTGGGCAAACGTTCAAAATCTGCAGGGGAGCAAATAATTATTTTCCTCACTGTACATATGTGTGTGTGGTGTGTGTGTGTGTGGGGGCAATAAAAGGCTTTATTTTGCCTTTCTTTTGTTGATATTGTCTCCTATTAATTATTTTACTTAGTAATAATGTTAAAACAAGCATCACTATAGATATAAAGCTCTGATTTCATTCTGAGATTTGCTTTACTTATTTTTAAGTTTTTTACAATTCAAATTATGTAGTTTGTTTTTTTTGGATTACGTGGTTTTTTTAATTACAAAAAACTATTGAATGAAATTGATTAAAAAACTAAAAAAAAGTAATATGAATAGTATAAAACAAAAAAAAGGCTAGAGGAAAAAGTTTTTAAGGCTAGCTTTAGTGGTAATACTGGGTTACTAACGAAATTTATTGGAGAAAGAAAAAACTTTTTTGATCTTTCACATGTTTTTATTAGCAACTCTAAGAAAAGCAGATACTTTGTAATTGGTTGCTCAGATACCGTAGCTGCAACTAGCTACAATTTATAATTATGTGTTACATTTTACCAAGTACTAAGCAGACACGCTGATTGTGCCGATCAACATTGACATAGTTGCTAATACTGCCTCTAAGCTCTGTTCACTCTCCCATTACTGTTTTTCTCCATCAATCCAACCACTGGCTGAAACTGGAGCCTCTTTCCTTTTATTTCTTGTTATTTCTCTATGTTACAAAGCTGTATGTACTAGTCTCTGGAATGGTATGTATATATATATATATATGTGTATATATATATGTATATATATATATACACATATATATATATTGTGTTACCTGCACTACTGTCCTTTTTTTCCTATCTGTTGCTTTGTATAGCATGTATAGCACCACAGGAGTTGGTGGAGCAATATAAATAATAACTGAACTGGTAGACTTATAGACAACATATGTGCGGTGTTATCATTTAAGAGGCAGTGGTTCGTAACCGCAGTGCCTGGTGGAAGCGTGTACAGTTTTCAAAGTCTGGACTGTATGAGGACATGTCAAAAGGAATGATTAACTGGTTTCCTAATACAGTATATGTAAAATCTTGGTCTGAACAGTATATTTATGGTACTTTGGAATTTAGCTATGCCTTCTGCTATCACATTTGACACAACAAGATTTACTTTAATGTTAAATCCCATATGTTCTAAAGATTGAAAAGAATACATCAGTTTACTTTGTCAGTAACCTGCTGTAACCTGCACATAGACTTTTTCTCAAACAAGTGGAACTATGTAAAAAAAGTTTCCATTTGCTTGCAGTTTGCAGAAATGATACATGTGCCTCAAATTTGAAGTGCAGCTTTAAGTATAATAAACTTTTTTGTATTTTTACAAGAAATATTACTTATAGATTGGGCTTTGACTGCATATAAACACTGGTGTATGCCTACAAAAAAATGACTATTGATATTTGGCTCACGTTTTTAGATATTAAAGCCAATAGGCTTTTGGCAAGGGAGAGAGGAGTATTACCTTTTAGTGATATCTTTTTTCAATTTACTATATATGTCAGGCTTGTGAGTGCCACTGTCTGGCCCACACATGTATTGCTTTTCTTGTGTAAATTGTATTCAGAAGTTGCCATATTTATGTCCACTGAGTGCATAAAGACAGATCACCTTGTTCTCCCATGATCTTCCCCCTCCACACCATCATTAGTACTCCCGCCATATTGTACATCGAAAACCTGGAAAACACACTCTTAACATCACGCTGATATTATTCTGCCCGCCTGTAGCGTTAACTTAGCCCACCTGACAACCCTCTGCGGTGGATGACACCACATTCCAGGATACGATACATCAATGTACTGTTAATATGTACAATAGAGTACTGTGAATATGCCCTGACTTAACTTGTCAATTTATTGTCTTTTAACTTCAATAAAAATGTATTTGAAAAAAAAAAAAGACAGATTACCTCTTGACTCGTAGCCTCTAGGTTCATAGCTGCTAGACTCCTAGCTATGTTGTGAGACCTAAAATGTATCCGTCAGGACAGAAATATGGGAGCTGCAACTGCTGACTTGTTTTTGATGGTGCAGGCTCATGGACTGTACTTTTTAGCCTTCCTAGGCTACCCGCTGAATAACTGATCTGGAACAATCATTTCTGCACATGCTTGTTTTTGGCTCAGTGGCTTGTCAAGTAGTGAAGCAGGCATAAGAATAAAAACTCGATGAGGGGAATTTA